TACATCGCGGACTGATAACATAAGTTAAATTTGAGTCATGGGAACCTAACCACTGGGTAGGGGGTTGCACCATAAGAATCTACTGCGGTTATGATAAGATTATTATATATACAACAGTTAATTAGGGATATGAATTATTGTTTCTAAGTTCATGTTGTAAGGTTGATGTCCCTACTAACCAATTTAATTATTTGATTTTGTTTAAATTTATTATACTGCCTTATACACATACAGAATCTTCTGTACTGTTATGCTTTAATTTGTTAGATTATGATTACACAATTAATATGCATCTAGAACTTGCCAGGTTTCTTCTATTTTTGGAACTTTACGATCATTATTATTGTTAGGTTTTTATTCTTGGCAACCCCGTTTGACAAAACTCATTTTCAGATGTATTTATTTTCGTTTTTTTTATTTCAGTGAGGCTATGAGTGTTTAGATGCGAATCCAACCCGAATCGAGCCTTTCAGAGAAGTTTTGTGATGATAAAGCGTTCAAGATAATTGAAGTTAGGCACCCATGGTTTAATTATTATTATTATTATGGCCTATTTTGGGAACAATGGGAAAAAGCCAGCTTTTTGGCTTTTTTTAGCCAAAAAAGTCAGCTTTTTTACCCAAAACAACCCAGCTTTTTGCCAAAAAAGCCACCAAAAAAGCCAAAAAGTCAAAAAGTCAACTTTTTACCAACTTCCCAAAACACCCCTATATAAAAAGAAAATAAAGATATATGGGTAGATGAGAATGGTTAATATCTTCAAACATTTTTTATATATAGAATACTAATACTATGAAAATTAATTAAAAATAAGAACTGGTTTGGTTGGGAATGGGGTCACTTTTAACACATCAGTGACTGTTGTACTTCAATTTAAGGTGTATTATGGACTTATTTTTATGATCCGAACCGTCACTTTGTAAGGTTTGTTAAATATTTCATGCCTACCAAAACTCATATTAATCGGATATTAATAACTATATGATCAATAACCAAAAAAATAAGCAATAAGTTTTCTTTTGAAAAATAGCAAAAAAAAATATGAAATTCGATCATATAGTTATTGATATCCGATTTATATGATTTTTGGTAGGCATAAATTATTCAACAAATCTTACAAAATGAACAATTCGAATCATAAAAATAAACTCATAATACACCTCAAATTGAAATACAATAGTCACTATGCCTTCTGCACAGCAGGAACCCATCTCTGGGTTTTTTGTGGTTAGGTTCTATTTGGTACTTTTGCGCTTCAATTCGTGGTCAACAATTATTGATTTCTTAAAAACCGAACCAAACCGTTTCCTAAAAAAATTAGATCAAACTATGCGGTTTGGATAGGCTCAAATCAATTTATCGATCTTTTTGTACATTCTTATTTAATGAGTATTTTCACATAATTGAATTAGAAATTAAAATATATATATATCTATCTATACTATTATAAAGTGAACACATAATATGGTGTCTTGAAGCTTCTTTACTCTCCTCATGCCATGTGGCAGTGTTTTTTATTTTTTTAAAAAAAAGTTAAACAAAGAGATGGACAAGGCTTGTGTTTTTTATTTTTTTAAAAAAAAGTTAAACAAAGAGATGGACAAGGCTTGAACCCATGACCATGGGTTTAAGTATGAAGACTCATACCACTTAAGCTAAGTACACATTATAATATTAATTTCATTATTATTTTCTTTTATTTCTATTTATTTAATTTACACACACATCGTGTGTGCCCAACCGCTAATATATATATATGGGAATGAATTTTACATGTGAACCCAAGTTTTTATCGAGGAGATGTTTTGAATCTCCAACGTTTCTCAACACATTCAACATTTATCACGATTTTGTTGTTCATGTTGACTATGGGAGAGAGAGAGAGAGAGAGAGGTTGTTTCCAAAGTTTATGTTCTCTTTTTTCAAATTTTGTTTCCCAAACGTGGAAGAAAGGGTGAGAAAATTTTGCTAACAACTCAAAATACTCAATGGTTGTCCGTAAAATCTGATGCTTTATGGATAAGCCGCATAAAATTTAGTATAGAGCTGGTTTGATAATTATTTTTTTAGTAAATTTCTTTTTAAAAAAAATTTAAGGTAAAATTGTTAAAAAAACTATGCATTTGTAATTAGTTAAAAATTTGTCTATTTGTGTTCAATTTTATTTTATTTTGCGAATAATGTTTGAGAGCCACAATTTGTGTGGCTCAAATGGTTCAAAACTGCTAAAACGACATCCTTTTGGCATGTTTTGTGCTCAAAACGACGTCGTTTTGGCAGTTTTGAGCCATTTGAGCCACAAAAATTGTGGTCCTCTACCATTGCCCTTATTTTGCAATTGTTAGTGTGTGTGTTAATTTTCGACCACACTGTCAACTTAGTACTCAGCTGGAGAACATCGGCAGAATAGATTAAGGCCGAACGACCTACAACAGAAAGAAGAGTTTCCAGCGGTGGCTCGTCCAGCCGGGGGCACTCCGACGATTAAGTCAGTACTCAATATCTCTCAAAGATAGCCAATAGTGCTTAACTCACTAGACAGAATATCAAAAGCATAAAAGACATACCTTAGACCCATGGGGGTGTCTCTCTTTTATAGCAAACATAATCCTAGTCCCAATAGAAGCCTAGCTCTAATGGACTTAGGATTACTGCTAATCTTGGACTCCCAGTAAGATTAGAATAAACTCTCTAAGAGTCTCATCTTTACCCAAACTGAAGTCTTCTCTCATTCTAGGACTCTTGTCCCTTATCCGCTTATTTCGGATTCCGGTATTCTCGCAGATAACCTCGGCCTAGCCGAGATTACCTCGGCGTCATGACCAGGACACGTGGCACCTCGGCTGGCACTTTGGTGACACTTCGGCCACGTGTTGTCATTAAAAAATTATGTCCCTACAACTGCCCCTAGGTTCTATTACCTCGGCATCCTGAGGTGATAGAACCTATATCATTCATTCCTTTAATCATGACCCCGGTTTAACTTCAACTTGTAAACTTTTCTCAAGTTTCAACAAGCGTTAAACATAATCTCGGTTTAATTTCAACTTGTAAACTTTTCTCAAGTTTCAACAAGTGTTAAACATCATCTCGGTTTACTCTTCTCTTCTTGGACTTAATCATCTTAGGCTGATATCTTGTCTTCTGGGATCTGGGATCCGAGATCTGGAATCCGGGATCGGCTTACTTGGGCTGAGCTCTTGTCTTCTCATATCCAGTGTTATCTCCGCTTGATAGGTGAGGTCACCTCGGCATCTTATTGCTTTCTCTGGAAGTAATCCCTCAGATCCTCCTTGGTTCGTCCAAGAGCTCGGCTATCTCCGGCTTTCAGCCTCTTTGGTGCACTACTTCTTGTGTCATTGCGAGTCTTTTTGGACCTCTCTCCATTGGTCACGTTGAAACAAAGGTCCTTCCCCTGAACATGCCGATGTTCTTTGGAGTCAACTTCCTTGGTACGATGTGTCCTCTGTGAATCTCCTCTTCTTGATTCTCCTTGTCCGACCTCCCTTGAAGGTCAGTGAGAATGTTCCTTGGTCCTATTGTGCTGAGGAGTCGTAGGAGTTGTCTTCTGCCCCCCTGCCTGGGCATCTTTCTTGGTTGCTGGAATTGGCGTATCTTGTGACGGGAACGGTGGCTGGAGGTCGTCCTTGTTATAATACTTGCTTCGGTTTGATTTCTTCGGCACGTCACCCTCATGGCCGACGTCCTCTTCTCCGTGATTCTTATCACGAGTTTCTTCGTTGTAGTTGTCTTCTTTGACGCCAAGGTCAATATGTTTCCCACTCTCAGTAGGGGTGTCGTCCCCAACCTTCTCTTTCGGTCTGTCGTTGGTCATCTATTCTCCTTTTGTTCCCACAGACGGCGCCAAATTGTGTGTGTCAATTTTCGACCACACTGCCAACTTAGTACTCAACTGGAGAACACCGGCAGAATAGATTAAGCTCGAATGACCTGCAACAGAAAGAAGAGTTTCCAACGGTGGCTCGTCCACCCGGGGGCACTCCGACGATCAAGTCAGTACTCAATATCTCTCAAAGATAGCCAACAGTGCTTAACTCACTAGACAGAATATCAAAAGCATAAAAGACATACCTTAGACTCATGGGGTGCCTCTCTTTTATAGCCACATAATCCTAGTCCCAATAGAAGTCTAGCTTTAATGGACTTAGGATTACTGCTAATCTTGGATTCCTAGTAGGATTAGGATAAACTCTCTAAGAGTCTCATCTTTACCCAAACTGAGACTCTTGTCCCTTATCCGCTTATCTCGGATTCCGGTATTCTCGCAGATAACCTCGGCCTATCCGAGATTACATCGGCGTCATGACCAGGACACGTGGCGCCTTGGCTGGCACTTCGGTGACACCTCAGCCACGTGTTGCCATTCAAAAATTATGTCCTTTTTTTAATAAAAAGAAAAAAAAAACTATTTAAAAAAATTAAATAGCCAAAAAATATAGTCGAAATCAAACCGACCCAAAATTATATCTAAATTTTCTTCCCTTTTGGCCTCCGCAAACCAAAAAAAAAAATTATTTTTATTTTTTTATAGGGAAAAAAGGAAAGAAAAGAAAAGAAAAGAAAAGAAACTAATTTTGTGAGGTTGAAGAATGGTAAAAAAAGGGGACGTAAACAGTTAATTTTGTCTAGATGTGGAGCCCTACTTGGTCTTAATCATCACCTAGATCCAGTTCAAAATGTCGATTTGTCTTTCGAGGCCACAATCACCTAAACACCTCCAACCTAATCCAAATTCCACAAACTCCTATCAGAAGCTGCCACGTATAAGTAAAACCCCTCAACTTCCCAACACCTACCACATGGCAACAATTTATGGACCCGTCAGAATTGCACAATGACAGTCCCGTCACACAAACTCACAGAGTCCTTTGGCATTGAAAAGCCGTTAATCGCGCCAAATAATCGCTAAGTCACAGAACAACATAACAACAAACAATAACAACGACAGACAACAAAATAAGCGAAACTCAACGGCGGTTGTAGGCGGTGGTGTTGGGTGGTGGGAGAGAGGTCACCCTCATTTTTGCTTCCACATTCCACCTCTCTCTCTCTCTCTCTCTCTTACCCCACACCCATTATATCTATATCTTTATATATAGAATTTTCAATCCTTTTTGTTCTTTATTCCCCATTTTGTCCCCCTTTAACCTCCTAATCAATTCTTTTTCAAAATTCACCTATAAACTTAACCATTTCTCTCTCTCTCTCTCTCTCTATGCATATTACCAAGCAAGCATAAGACTTTGGTTCTCTCTCTTTTGCCGCGGATTATTATTAAGGTATGCTTCTTCGTGTTCTTTATTCATATGAATTTAGTTTCTTTGTAATCCATTCAAGACATTTTCGTGACTTCATATTGAATTTCTATCTGTAATTGTATTGATTTTGTTTGCTTGTATGCTTATTGTTGTATTGTTGTCATAGAATGTGAAATTTCATGTTACAAACTTGTTGGAATTCTGCTCTGCTCTGCTCTTTTTTTTTTTTTTTTTTTTTCTTTCTATGAATTCTTGCGTATACAAAAGCAGAATTCTTATGAGGAAATGAAATTATGAATTGAAGACCAGATGTTCATGTTTCATGGATATGTCAGTATTACATCTCAAATGTAACTTTTTTGGCCACTATTCATAAAATTCACAACAATGCTACGTACTCAGAAAAGTTTCAAGAATTTAGAAAGTCTGGATCAAATTCATTCTCGATATATTCAAATTCTGAACATGTTTCCGAATCTTATTTTTTTTCATTTTTTTCTGAATACACAGCAATTTTTAGAAAAATATGCTCCCTTTGGCAAATATTTTTCCCCTTGTGAATTAGCTCTAGTTAACCAATTGATGTTTATGATAGTTATATTATGTAATTTCAATTTTTAAGGACAATATTGATCTCCATATGATCTTTTATAGGAAAATAAAATAAAAGTGTGTTTTTTGTTTTCTTTAATTGTAAAAACTTATCTGGAGCAATTACAGAGTCATTGTTAATTCAAACTCGATTCCCAGATGTCTGAATTGGCCATGGATGAATTAAATGGAGAAGATAACCTATCAAGAGAAGCCGGTGAACACTACATGCCTTACAACAAAGAGATTTTCACAGAGAGGTCTCCTAGAAGTCCATTGAGCACTCACAGTCCTGAGAGTGAGTCCATTGATCTTGACATAGATGGAGGGGTTGATAACTCTATTGATCAGCTATATTACAATGTCTGTGAGATGCAGAGCTCCGATCCATCCCCGTCAAGGCGTTCTTTTTTATCTTACGGTGAGGAGTCAAGGATTGATTCTGAATTACGATTCTATGCCGGTGGCAGTTTTGGGGAGATGGAGACCACAAAAGATGTTGCAACGGAGAAAAAAGAAGTGGGAAATTTCTCTGAGACACCAAATGGGTCAAAAAATGGAAAATTTGGAAAGACAAACAAGGCCCATCTTGCAAGTGCTAGGACTTTTTCTTCTTCTGCACATTCCAAGAACAAGAGTCTCTCTCAATTGCCAGCATTGGAGTCTGAATCAACTGCAAAATTAAGTTCAAGGATCAAATCTTTCAATGAGAGACCTCCAACCGGTAAGCGAAATGGGAAAGTTTCAAGAAAGCCGAATCCAATTTTCCCAACGAAAAATGACAGAAATTCACCTTTAGGAGGGGAAAAGTTGCAGGATGGAAATGAGGAACCTGCTGAGTCTGGTTTTCTTGGTTCGTATTTACTTAAACAAACAAGGGACGTGATTTCATCAGGGGAAAATCCTCGGAAAGCCCTTGAATTGGCGCTTCGAGCGATGAAATCGTTTGAAAAATGTGATACTGAGAAACCAAATTTGGAGCTAGTCATGTGTTTGCACGTCATAGCAGCAATTTATTGCAGCCTAGGCCGATACAGTGAGGCAATTCCTATCCTCGAGCGATCAATAGAAATTCCCGTGATCGATGAAGGCCCAAAGCATGCGCTCGCTAAATTTGCAGGATGTATGCAGTTGGGAGATACATTTGCGATGCTCGGGCAGATTGAAAATACTATACTATGCTACACCGCGGGTTTGGAGATCCAAAGACAGGTTCTTGGAGAAAAAGACCCACGATTTGGTGAGACTTGTCGGTATGTAGCTGAAGCCCATGTCCAAGTATTCCAATTTGATGAGGCTGAGAAGCTTTGCCAGTTGGCTCTTGACATCCACAAAGAAAATGCCTCCTCTGCTTCTCCCCAAGAAGCCGCGGATAGGAGACTTATGGGACTTATTTGTGACTCAAAGGGAGATTATGAAACCGCTCTCGAGCACTATGTTCTAGCAAGCATGGCCATGTCATCGAATGGGCAAGAAGTAGATGTTGCTTCCATTGATTGCAGCATTGGTGATGCGTATTTATCTTTGGCGCGCTACGATGAGGCTATTTTCGCTTATCAAAAAGCGCTCACCGTGTTTAAATCAACCAAAGGAGAAAACCACCCATCGGTTGCTTCAGTTTTTGTTCGTTTGGCAGATTTATACAACAAGATTGGAAAATTCAGGGAATCCAAGTCATACTGTGAAAATTCACTACGGATTTATTCAAAGCCGATTCCTGGAAGCCCCGCGGAGGAGATTGCGAGTGGGCTCATTGATGTTTCTGCTATCTATCAATCAATGGATGAACTTGATCAGGCTTTGAAATTGCTTCAAAAGGCTTTGAAAATCTATGAGGATGGACCGGGGCAGCAAAGCACGATTGCAGGAATTGAAGCCCAGATGGGGGTTTTGTACTATATGATGGGGAATTACACTGATTCTTACAATTCCTTCAAAAATGCAGTTTCAAAGTTCCGGGATATAGGAGAGAAGAAGTCTGCTCTCTTTGGTGTTGCTCTGAACCAAATGGGTCTCGCTTGTGTGCAACTTTATGCTATAAATGAGGCTGCTGATTTGTTTGAAGAAGCAAGGTGTATTTTGGAGAGTGAATATGGGCCATATCACCCTGACACACTAGGGGTCTATAGCAATCTCGCGGGCACATATGATGCAATGGGCAGGTAACTATTCGAACCTCACCGCCATCCTGATAGTTTCAAGTATTTTTATCTATTGTTCTTCATTTTTATCTTTATTTAAAAAAAAAAAACTTGTTTCCACATTAGCAAGGCACGGATCATATGTAGTGAAATGGTGCATGTGAATGACCTTATGTTTTCCTTTCTCTGGAGCAAAAATGGACGGTTGGTGCAACCGTCACTCAAAGTTTAAGTGGGAAAAACAAAAAACTGTGCTAGTTAAGAATATTTTCAAATTATATAGATTTGCTCCCTAATTTTTTTTTTTAAATTAAATACTCGTTCTCTGAATTTCCTTTTGGAAAAATATTTGTGTTAGAATCCGATGTCTGTTCTTGTTCTAGCTGCTTCATGATTTTGAGAAGACGAAGAGTTGGATTTTGAAATACTTCGATTAACATCAACTAGGCTGAGTCTCACTCCAATGGTTAAAATGCAGAGAATGAGAAAACAGGATTCGATTGGAAGAAACTAAGAAAACATATACATGAAACTAATAGTTTGTACACTTCTGATTATGTAAGCTTTTTATGATATGCAGGCCAGGAGATGCGATTGAAATCTTGGAATATGTTGTTGGGATGAGAGAGGAAAAGCTGGGCACTGCAAATCCTGATGTGGATGATGAGAAGCGCAGGTTAGCCGAGTTGTTGAGAGAAGCAGGGAGGGTGAGAAACAGGGAATCTAGGTCTCTTGAAAACCTCCTAGACACCAACTCACACACTTTTACAAAAGATATCTCTAGGTTATTGTCATTTTGATGCTTTTGAAAGACTTGAAGTATATATGTTTGCTTGAATGTAAAATTTGTGTTTAGAGAAAGAAACCGACTTCTCTCCCGTTGGAGACAGAAGTCCAGTTCAGTCCAGTTGAGTCCCTGTGTGCAGATCATCTATGAAAGAAATCAAATTATTTCAATAATTGTAGTGACATGATTTCATCAGTTTTGAAAATGGATATCCTTTTTTTTTTTATTAAAAAAAAGACAAATTCGATGAAATCGCATGGATATAATCAATAAGACCTGTGGTGAGACCCATGGGCCTAATGTGTCTGAATTAGACTTCTTTGCAACTAGAGAGAAGCCGGATGCTTATAGAAAACACTTTAGATTATGGGTTGATTGGTTAGATACTTAAAACCAAGATAAATAATGATGATTGGAAGGTGTGATTGTTATGGTTCAAATTTTGAATTAGTTTATTACGTTGGGGATGAGGGAGGAAAATGTTGCATCTTTCATTGTTTGAGGAGTTGGTGAAATTTCATTTTGTCATTTTTCATCTTTTTTGTATATCTATCTTGTATTTTAATAAAGTAATGGTGGAATTTCAGTTTCCATTGTTGTTATACCAAACTGTCTATTTAGAAACCTTCAAGTGCAACCAACATTTGCAAGAGTAAGAGATGCTGACTTCTGATCTTTTCTGTCTTTTCATTTGATATGAGGATGTCTATATCTCTCAATAGCATGGTGCATACTATTACTACCTAACATGTGTCATATATACATATAATAATCTGCGTTTAATAAGAAAATTGAATCTTGTAAAATTAACAAATTTAAATTATATCACACACTTCTAATGACAGAAATATATATATATATATATATATATAAATGATTACTTTTCTGTTAACTTTATGAAATTATTTTTAATTTTCAACAGAACTTAACCAGTATGTAGTTAGTGATACTCAACATTAATTATCTTCGTTGGTTATGTCAATGACTCTGATATAGAAAGTCATAAATTCAAACTTCAAAAGTGGATCAACAATCTAAAATTTCATTTTTCACTCTCTGGAAGTCACTGTCAAGAATTGGGTACATAAATTGAAGATGATTTGAAGCAAAACCCCACTACCTCAGAATGGTTACAAATTTACTATTCAATGCAAAACATCCACTATCACGCCCTAGCCAAAAATCAATAGTTAATTGTTAATCTAAAGTCAATAATTAATTGTTAGATTAACATTTGGGAGAGTTTAACCACCAACCTCTCCTTGCAATCACTTATGTCTTGCTCTTTATTAAATATTGTTTATTTCTTCTCCTTTAAGAGGTTCTTTCTTAAGTTGGTTGTTGGGTTGATCCTCACCACAGGTCATTTATAGTAATTTCCTACTGATTGGGAAAAAAAGAAAAAGAAAAACAAAAAAAAAGAAGCACAAACAATAGCAAATAACGAAAATTTTTGTAATATGTTATGGAGACACCATGAACAACAATATGTATGGCTTGAGTAAAAGAGCACCAATGATGTATCTCTTGCAAGTATATGAAATCAATCAATGAGTCATATAGATAAGTGAATCTGAATAGAGAGAGACTCTGTTTTTTTTTTTTTTTAAGCCTTGTGACAAGCCTCAGAAAGAGGTAGGGGGGGATCAGAAAAGGAGCCATTCATAATGAGGTTTGCAACAAATCGATTACCAGCTTGGGTGTAGTGAACACCATCCCAAACAATGTACTTTGAAGGATCACTACATGCAGTCCCAAGGAGTTTATTATCAGTTTCATTTCTTGTTCCACAATAAATTTTTGGTGTTCCACAGCAGAAACTGAATGGATCAGTAAAACCTGCACCATGAACACATTCACATTCACTTTCATAAGCACCCAATTACATAATTAAATATTAACACACACTACTAATACTATCATGTCATGTGAGTTTTATAACTAGCATTATTATTCTATTCTATACAAAAAAAGAGTAATTTACATACCAATAAAGAAGAAGAAGAAGAAGAAGAAGAAGCAATAATGCAAAGTGCACCCCCCCAAAAAAAAATTTATTCCGGAAAAAAATAAATGTTAATACCACATATTGAGTTTTGTGTGTATATTTCTCTAAGAGATTGACTATGAACACATAACCTAAATATAGAATAGAACACATAATAGAAATAAATGGATAAGATTTTACAGAATTTGTTAGGACTCAACTTCTTTAAAATCTTGTTCATTTATATACATTTTGTATTCCATTCTCAAAATTTATTTTTTTTTTTAATTTTATTTTGTGCATTTAGAATTAATATTGAAAAAAAAACAGAGAGAGTATAACATGAAGAAGATAAAAATAGATAAAGGTGAGGTCCACTATTTGACGTCTTTTCTGGAAAATTTTATAGGGATGAAAAATTACACATACAAATATATTTTGATTGCGCTTTTATTTTTTTATTTAAAAAAAAAAATTGTTTTCCAAACGGTTTAAATTATTTTTATTTTTAAATCAAGCCAATTTTTAGTAAACCTCAAAAAGATTTTTCGAATTTTGAAAAAAGTGTTTTCAAACAAAAAATGATAACATTGTGCATATTTCCGGTGGTTTATATTTTTGAAAACATCAAAATTTAAAATGAAAAACAAAAACACAACACGTATCTTTGAGTAAAGTTACCAAGCTTCTTGGCATTGAATACGAGATAGTTTTTGGAGGAGTGAACATCGACATAAGTAATAGCAGCATGAGGGTACTTAGCCCTGAGCTTGTAAACAGCCTCCTTCAATAGTTTATTGAACTCCACAGCTTGTTTGTTATTCCTCTTGACACAACCATTCTCATCTAACTCACATTTTTCTTTAAAGAACATTTTGCAGCCGTTGATGCTGCCAGGTAAGCAACCGTGTGGCCCCGTATTATGTATCCAAAAATTCTTTGCTCCGCTCTCAAGTAGCCGCTGTACCATTGATAAGCATGCACCACCACCACATGTTATTAGTATTTGATCCGGTCTGATTATGTAGCATTACTCATTATAAATAGTGTCCTTGGTTATAATTCATCATTATAACAAGTTCCTCCATTTCCCAATAAATACCGGGGGCAATGAGAATTTAAGAGATGGAAATTACTGGACCTTACTTGTCTTGGACAAACAAGACAATTTTCTAAATGACTGTGTAGTCAGACATTTTGTTGTAACAAGGATGAAGAAATTTTTATTAAATCTTTCCTTACTTGTTGAACTGTTTTATTTTTTGTTGTAATATAAAAATACAGTTATATCAGTCGATATCTAACAGTATGATCTGAACGGAGTAGCTGACCTGTACAGAATTGGATAAGTCGTTGACAACGGTAGGGATCGAAGAATTGTAGAAAATGTAAGAAATGTCATTGTGACCAATGTCGATGGTGTACAAAGCTTTTGAGAAAACCTCCGGCTCTGGGTAGTTGCTTTCAAATCGTGGGTTGTTTGCTGATCAGCATTAACAACAAAACCAACCTTAAAATTAGCATTTTTGTATACAATTTCTACAATTCCCATAGAGCATGCTTTTATAGTATTAGTTAACATTTAAATGAATCAATAAAAAATGAATAATTCTATATACATAATTAAATCACAAAAAAACGAATGTACATAATTGTATTATGAATATACATTCTTAATAGTTTTTGTTAATGTATAATGTATATATTAATGTATAATATATTAATGCAATCACTACAGCCATACAGCTAGCTATAGGACAGAGCATAGGATTCTTCTTTCGGCTGCTTTCGGCCCCTTTCTCTTTTATATGTTTTACTCTCATGATGATGTTGTATAGCAGCTCCTATATAATGGAGTCTCTTCTTACAGTTTCTATATATTGAATCACAGAGCTTACTTACTCTTTCAATATCACTCTCTCAATATATTTTACATGGTATCAGAGCACAGGTGTTTTTCCTAGTCTCTTCTTGGCAGATTGCTGTGTATCTTGTCTGCATCACATTTTCTGTTTGGCAGATTGTTGCATATCTCGTCCTTATCTAAATTACAGATTGGACAACACAGAACCTTCGTCTCTTCACTACGAATCCAACGCCATCAGATTCATCAACATCCGCCGTCTCACGTGCCCTCACGCGCCATATTTGTCGCCGGTGCGTCACTCGCTTCCGCCTTCAACGTCCCACGCGCTCCACGCGTCCCCTAGTCGCTTGAGCCACCTCTCTCCACGTCTCACACGCTACACGCGTCTGCAAGCCGCTTAAGCCGTTCGCTTGAGCCGTCTCTCCCACACTTATCACTCGCTCGCGCCGCACATGTCTCGTGCCGCTTTCGTCTTCGGCTGCGCCACTTGAGCACGCCTTTGCCTTTGGCTCCAGCCGGTCCAGCTCAAACCGGCTCAGCCCCTTTCCCAGGCCGGTTCACCCCTATTTTTGGACTTTTTTGGCCAGTTCAGCCCGATTCCTCACTAATTTGGACCTTCTGCATTCACTGGTGCCCTCGGATTTTTCAGATTCTACCTCGATAGTACTGCTTTTCCCTCATGGATCGCCCGGACTCCTCTAACCACCCTATTTTCGTTGTTCTTGATGGGACTAACTATGTCTTATGGGCACAAGCTATGTCTGGTTTCCTCAAAGGAAAGAAACTTTGGCGCACCATCACTAAGGATGTGTGCAAACCCATCCAAGCAACCATGGAATCCGCTGCCACCACAGAATCCGTTGCCACATTTGTCGACCGTTTGGAGGATTGGGATAGTAAAAACTATCAGATCGTCACTTGGCTTCGTAACACTTCTATTACATCTATCAGCCTTCAGTTTGGTCGGTTCCAACTTGACTCTGCTTCCTCTCCAGCCAAGGCCATCTGGGATTTTTTATAAGAACGCTATCAGACTACTAGCCTTGCTCACCAATATCAGCTTCTGAGTCATCTTCACCGTATGCGCCAAGATACAACTCAGAACATTAATGATTTCCTCTCCCAAATGTATTATGTTTGGGATCAGCTCGCTCTTTCTGAACCTCCATGGGATTGTACTAAGGATGCTGCCTTGTTTACTACTTACCGTGACCAACAGCGCTTGGTTCAGTTTCTTATGGCTCTCACTCCCCGTTTTGAGCCCGTACGCGCATCTTTCCTTCATCGCACTCCTTTGCCCACTCTTGAGCAAGCAATTTCTGAACTACTGTCAGAGGAAACCAGGTTTGGTACTCTCTATCCGCACCCTGTGGACTCTGTTCTTGCTACTCCCCAAATTTGGAGTTCTCCTTCACCACAGAGGTCAACTATCTACAACTACTGTCAACACCGCAGTCTTCCGTCGACTTATTTTCTGGTTAATTATCCAGTTCGTCTTTATCAGTTTTGCAACAAGACTGGTCCTGGTCATCTCCAGTAAGATTGCTTCCGCAATCCCGCCCGTGCCTCTCACAATGGTCCTTCCACCGAGAATTTTTCCCGCAGCAACTCTCACCGTTCTGGGACTCCGTTTAAATCCATGCCTGCTCAACACACTGCTGCTGCTGCCTCAGAGGATTTACCTTCCTCTGTCCCTATAGATCCTTCCAGTCCAGTCTTCTCTCACACAGATGTCGAAGTCATGTTTCAACATTTTTGGCAGCATTCTGGTACTCCTCCATTTATTACTTTGTCTGTCACCGCAGGTAACACTTCCTGGTACTTTGACTCCGCTTGTTGTAATCACATGACCTTTGACCCTACTATTTTTACTCATCTCTCTTCTACTCCTCATGTTCCTTTTATCCATACTACTGATGGGTCTCTTCTGTCTGTAAGTCATGTTGGTTCTGTTTCCACCTCTCACTTATCTTTATCCCATGTATATCTTATGTCTGCTCTTATTTTAAATCTTATCTCCATTAGTCAATTATGTGAGCATGGTCTAACTGTTACCTTTTCCCATACTAGTTGTTTGGTGTAGGACCCTCGGACGGGGCAAACTCTTGGGATAGGCCGTAAGCATGGACATCTCTACGAACTTATCCATCTTCATATTCCGGATTCCTCTCAGATCACAGCTCCTACCATTGCTACCACTGCTCCTCCTTTATCTCCTTTTCAGCTTTGGCACTGTCGTTTAGGCCATCTTTCTGTTGGTCGTTTAAAATCTTTAATTTATAGTGGTCATTTAGGTCTTGTAAGTTCTAATGCTTTAGATTGTGTGTCCTGTCAACTTGCCAAACAACCTGCTTTGTCGTTTAATAAAAGTGACTCTGTTTCTCTTGCACCATTTGATCTCATCCATTCTGATATTTGGGGACCCCTTCTACTCCCACTATGAGCGGCGCATACTATTTTGTTGTTTTTATAGATGATTTTTCCCGTTTTACATGGTTGTTTCTTATGAAAAATCGCTCTGAACTCAAACAACTTTATTACAATTTTGCTGCAATGGTTAAAACACAATTTTCTAAAAATATTAAGCTTTTTCGCTCTGACAATGCCATGGAATATAAAGATTTTGACTTTCTTTCCTTCCTTCAGAGTCATGGTACTCAACCTCATCGTTCCTGTCCCGGTACGTCTCAACAAAATGGACGTGCTGAACGGAAACATCGGCATATTCTCGACACTACTCACGCTCTCCTTTTGTCTTCCTCTTGTCCGGAACATTTTTGGGGAGAGGCAGCTCTCATTGCTGCTTACACTATCAATTGTATCCCTACACCTGTCATTCATAATCACACTCCTTATGAGCGTCTGCATGGCACCCGTCCCCCTTACACCAACCTTAGGGTCTTTGGCTCTGCCTATTTTGTTCTTCTCCAATCTCATGAACGTACCAAACTTGAGCCCCGTTCCCGTCTTTGTTGCTTCTTGGGGTATGGTATTGAACATAAGGGGTATCGTTGTTGGGATCCTCTCTCCCAACGACTTCGTATCTCTCGTCATGTGGTCTTTTGGGAACACAAAATGTTTTCCACTCTCTCTCTCTCTTCCGTTTGTCCGTTCCCTCACCCTTTCTGTTTTTTACTGACCCTTCCACAGATCTGTTTTCTGATGAACTTACTCCTCCGCCCCTGCCAGCCTCTCTCGAGTTTTCTAATACGCTTACTCCACTGCCCCTGCCAGCCTCTCTCGAGATCGCCTTGCCTACCGGTCTGTCCCATGCACCTGCTCGCTCTGATGGCCCTGTTCTTGCTTCTTCGGGATCCTCCCTTCCTACTGAGTCTCTTCATCTAGCTCCTCCTCCTTCTGCTCGACCACACCGGGTAACCCAACCTTCTACTCGTCTTCGTGACTTTATTGTTGGTTCTATTGCTTTTTCTACCTATGAACCGACCTCCTATCGTGAGGCTCGCTCTAATCCTCTTTGGCAGCATGTTATGACTGATGAATTGCAGGCTTTAGAAAAAACTCATACTTGGGACATTGTTGATCTTCTTCCTGGAAAGGCTGCCATTGGCTGTAAATGGGTATACAAAATCAAGACCTGTTCTGATGGATCTATTGAGCGCTACAAAGCCCGCCTTGTTGCAAAAGGCTTCAACCAAGAATATGGTATTGACTATAAGGAGACCTTTGCTCCTGTTGCTCGTCTCACCTCTGTTCGCAGCTTGATTGTTGTTGCTACCACCCGACAATGGGATCTTTATCAACTGGATGTGAAAAATGCTTTCTTTAATGGTGTTCTTCTCGAGGAGGTCTACATGCAACCTTCCCGTGGGTCTACTTATCCACCTCATAAAGTCTGCAAACTTCAGCGTGCTTTATATGGTCTAAAACAAGCTCCACACGCTTGGTTTGCCAAGTTCAGCTCTACTATTCATGAATGTGGTTTCACCTCCAGCTCTTATGATACTGCTCTTTTTATCCGGAAAATAGCTCAAGGGACCACCCTGCTTTTGCTTTATATGGATGGCATGATTATCACAGGTGATGATATCGATGGTATTCTTCACCTTAAACAGTTTCTTAGCCATCATTTCGAGATGAAAGACCTTGGTCCTCTCAGCTATATCTTGGGTCTTGAAATCTTTCATGATTCTAGGGGTTCTTTTCTCTCTCAGGTTAAGTATACCTCTGATCTTCTCACACGTGCTGGTCTTACGGATTGCAAGACTGCCTCCACTCCCCTGGAGCCTTAGAGTCGTCTTACACCTCTTAATGGCACTCTTCTCTCTGATGCTACTCTATATCGTCAACTGATTGGCAGTCTTGTCTATCTCACTGTTACTCGTCCTGATATTGCCTATGTCGCTCATATTGTCAGCCAGTTTATGTCGGCTCCTCGTACCCCTCATTATGCTGCTTTGGTTCGTATCCTTCGGTATCTCAAAGGCACCATGTTTCATGGTCTTCATTATTCCGCCCACTCATCTCTCCAGCTTCGTGCTTTTTCCGATGCTGATTGGGCTGGAAATCCTGCTGACCGCCACTCTACTACTGGGTTCTGCTTTTTTCTGGGTGATTCTCTTATTTCTTGGCGCAGCAAGAAACAATCTCTTACTGCTCGTTCCAGTACCGAGGCCGAATACCGTGCTCTTGCTGATACTACTCAGGAGCTTCTCTGGCTTCGTTGGCTTCTTGCTGACATGAGTGTTACCCCCTCTGGTGCTACTGACCTCTTTTGTGACAATCACAGTGCTCTTCAAATTGCTCACAATGATGTTTTTCATGATCGCACCAAGCACATTGAGATTGATTGCCATTTTATTCGTCAACACGTCACTCGTGGTACTGTCTATCTCCATCCGATCTCTTCTGTTGATCAACTTGCTGATCTCTTCACCAAAGCTCATTCTCCTGGCCGCTTCGTTGACCTTGTCTCCAAACTTCAGTTGGTTGATGTTTGTCCTTCTTGAGTTTTAGGGGGGCTATTAATGTATAATGTATATATTAATGTATAATATATTAATGCAATCACTACAGCCATACAGCTAGCCATAGGACAGAGCATAGGATTCTTCTTTCGATTGTTTTCGGCCCCTTTCTCTTTTATATGTTTTACTCTCATGATGATGTTGTATAACAGCTCCTATATAATAAAGCCTCTTCTTACAGTTTCTATGTATTGAATCACAGAGCTTACTTACTCTTTCAATATCACTCTCTCAATATATTTTACAACTCTCTCAATATATTTTACAGTTTTATCAGGCTCGGCCCTGAGATTTTCGGGGCCCAAAGTCAATAATGAATTAATAAATATCACTAGATCATTTGAGACCCTTCACATTTTTTTTATTCAACCAAATTTTTTTTTGAAGATAAAAGACAAAAGATTTGTATCAAAAGAGTTAGGGTTAGAAATTAGACAATGAGAGAGAGTGGGTCCTTTTAATTTTGAATGGGCCTTTTAATTTTTCAATTGATCAATTTTTTTTAAAGTTAGTTTGAGCCTTCTTTAATTTTTTTTTTTTGAGTAAAAACATGCCTAATATATTATACTAAACTATAATAAGAGGGGGTCCCTTTTTAAGTGTATTTTGAGGGGCCCTAAGCTATAGCCTGGTGGGCCTATGCCGAGGGCCGGCCCTTGAGTTTTATGTGAAAAGTTGTTAGAAGTAAAAACGACCAAGCATTTTTTGTCTCCAAATTTTTTTGTCATATTCCAATACACTATCAAAGATTGGATCATGATTCATGTAAGAGAATATCAAGACTATAAATCTGTTCATATGAGAATATAAAAATTAATCACAATCCTGTTATACAAGTGTGAGACCTACAAAAAGTAAAATCCATTTTATGAAAAAAGATTGTGTCCGATTTATGTATTTGGGATTGAATTGAAACATCGAGTGAGTGGAACAGACAAAAAGAAAAGAAAGGAGAAGGATAGAGAAAAACTAACTAGTGTTGGAGGGGTGGTGGTGAGAGAGGGCAATGGTGCGTGACTTGAATTGTAAGAACTCAGAGACTTGGGCACCGAGGTGAAGAGGGATCATGCTACCCACAAGGACGATTGGACTAATCTTGGATCCCCCTACTGCAAAATTAGCTCCATGCTTAAAACTTGTACCAATTGTGTCCAGTGGTGCATCCAAATATGGCAATCCCAATTTCTCAGCTGCCACCAAATCCAAATCCAAATCCAAATCCAAAACAAACAAACATTATTCACCAAATTTTTTAAAAAAATTAGTAATCTGAAATAGATATGTACCTTGAAAAATATTTCGAAAATGAAATAAGTAGTGTATATTCAATTATTATGTGGTTGAGATTACACTTAAAATAG